ACCTGAAAGTTCCAAAATAGAGCCCGGCATTGGTGGCATATGAATTTAATCTGAGCACTCAGGAGGCAGAGGCAGGATCTCTGTGAGTTCGAGGCCAGCCAGGCCTACAGAGCAAATTCCTGGACAGCCAAGGCTACACAGAAAAACACTGTCTTGAAAAACAAAACAACAAAACAAAAAAAGGTTCCAAAATAGAAAATGGAAAAAAAAAATGTGAGAAGTTATTATATTCAAAGAAACAAATAAACAAAATCCTGAATTTCAAACCAAAAACATGGAAATTCAGTTTGAAAGGGACCAGCAAAGGCCAAACCAGGATGTTTGTAACATTAACACATAGCTCTACTGTGATGCAATTGCAGGAACCCACCCCAGACAATAAAACAAAACAAAAAAACCTTAAATGAGGGAAGAAAAGTTCTCAATGAAATAACAAAGGTGTGGGAATCATGACCCCAAGTCTCACTGAAAAACAGAAGGTGTTGGGACTGGAAAGCTGGCCCAGTGGCTAAGAGAACCATCTGCTCTTTCAGAGGTCCTGAGTTCAGTTCCCAGCGACCACAGGGTGGCTCACAACCATCTCTAATAAGATCCAGTGCCCTCTTCCGGCATGCAGGCAAACATATAGGCAGACATTGTATACATAATAAATAAATAAATAAATCTTTAAAAAGAAAAACTTAAAACAAAAAGAAAAGAAAAACAGAAGGAGCAAGAAGACATGGATGTACAGAGGAATCTCATATTCACTATGAAAATAAAAGACTTCTTCAGAAGGTTTAGCACTCACAGACCCACTGCAAAACAAAGAGAAACATCAGCATGAAGAAATGAACCCATGAGACAAAGTGAAAAGCAAAAAGTAACATGAGCAAAACTGATAACATTCTTCAACTTAAAGCATAAGACAAGATTGGAAAAAACAGGCAGAAAAGCGAGGGAGGAAAAGGAAGAAAGGGAACATGAAATGGACAAGGCATTTTAGATTAAAAGTGATTATCTGGGTTCAGGATGTCCTCATCAAATGGACACAAATACTTTTGTCTCTTCAGGAAGCAGGAGAGGAAGATGGGATAGAGGGATACACAGACTTGTGGAGTTCCGGAGTCCGAATCTTGGCCTTACCACTCTTCGGGGATATAACTCTGGATGTATTTAATCACTTTGTGCCTCCTCCCCTTGTGTACAATGGGCATGACCCCAGGGCCTGCTGTGCATAGTTGTTATGAGCCTTTATCTGTGTTGTTCCCAGCATGTAGTGTTGTACATAGCTGATGTATGAATAATAAAATTAGCAAGAGAGGTTTATTTCTTGGGGGAAGGGACTGTGATTGCTCAAGGGGGGAAAAGCTAGAAAAGAAAACTCAAGAGAGATGATGAGATTCATGGGGGAAAGGCTCCTGCTGCCAATCCCGATGACCTGAGTTCAGTCCCTGAGACCCACACGGTGGAAGGAGAAAACCAATTCCAAGTAGTCCTCTGACAACAATGTGCGCTGTGCCATGCATGTATGCACACACACACACACACGCACACATGCACAAACACACCGAAATGAAATTTCAAAAACTGTTTTTTAAAAAAAAGTCTATAGTGAGTTTGCTTCAGGCCAGCCATCGCTATACAATGAGACTTGATCTCCAAATAAATAAGTAAATCTCACGAAGATAAAATAGTCACATCCCAATACATATGGACATGATACCATTTGTAAAGAGGGAGCTTTCTCTCTCCCTCTCTCTTTCTTTCTCCCTTGGTGGGTATGTGTGTGTTCACTCATAGAAATATGTGTGGCAGGAGAGCTAAGCCACCTCTGTGGAAGGAACTAGCAGCAATGATTCATCTGAATTTCATCCCTATCTTTCACACTAAATTATCATCCTGGGAATATATAGATATCATAATTTTTGAAAGTCGAATTAGAGAACAGGAAACAACAAAAAGAGACTGAGGACCTCTGCTCCCTGGGGGTTAGGAAAGAGGCACAGAAGAGATGACGCCAGAGCCATGTCTTGAAGGAAGCAGTGTTTCAGGGGAGAAGACAGGGGGCTTGAGAAACTGATGTGATTGTGGAATGACCGGGTTTGTATCCATGAAGTTTGGAGGTTTATGGGTGGGTGCTATCTTAGTTTGTTCCTGCTGCTATATCAAGATATCTTATATAGGGGTGATTTTTTTTTTTTTTTTGAGACAGGGTTTCTCTGAAACTCACTCTGTAGACCAGGCTGGCCTCAGAGATCCGCCTGCCTCTACCTCCCAAGTGCTAGGATTAAAGGCATGTGTCACCACTGCCCAACTTTAGGGGTGATTTTGAAATAACAGAGGTTGGACTGGGGATGTCAATGAATGGTAGAACACATCTAAAGTTCGAAGAGTCCCAGCAGCACATAAGATAAACAATAGAAAGGGCCTCTTCACAGCTCGAGAGGCTGGAAGCGCAAGTTCATGGTACTGAGGGACTCAGTACCCAATGAGGGCACACCCTCTCCTCTCTAGATGGTGCCTTGTTATGGAATCTACATGCGGTTGAAGGAAGTTTGTACACGTTCCCTCACAGTCACAGGGCTACTAATCCCCTTCCATGATGGCTCTGCCTAACATAACCCAGGAGGAGGGTCCATAACCCGATCACCTCTTGCCTCTTTCTGTTTTTTGTTTTGGGGGTTTGGTTTTGGGTGGCCCTTATTTATAATTTCAGCACTCGGGAGACTGAGGCGAGAGAATCTTGAGTTCAAGATTCCCCTTCAAGTCAGCTTGGACTACACAGTGAGACCCTATCCAGAAAGGAAAAGGGGGAGGGGCAGAGGAGATGGCTTAGCAGGTAAAGTGTTTATTGTACAATCCTGAGAACCTGGGTCTGAACGCTCAGCAGCCGTGTAAAAGCCTGGTGTGGCAGCTTACAACTATTGGTGTGGAGGGAGGGCAGGGATAGGTGGATCCTGTGTGTTCATGTGTGTGTTTGTGTGTGTGTGTGTGTGTGTGTGTGTGTGTGTGTGTGTGTGTGAGACAGAGAGAGAAAGAGAGAAAATGACTTCAGAATGAATAATGGCCCTTTGAAATGAATGCGTTTGCCATTGTGGAAGATCATTTGTTTATTATGCTGTCTTTGTTTCTTTGTTTTTCTTGCAACACATGTCTTTCATATGGCATATGTCTTGGACATATAAAAACTTTTACTTGCAATAGACATCTGCCAGCTGACTTTGTGGAAGGGTCCTGTGGCCCTGAGTAGCAGCCCCACCTTTCAGAACTCTTCTACCTCCATGGGACAGGAGCTGTTTAGACATACAGGGATCTGGAGGATCTCAGCAGGAAGAGTACAGAGCTGAAGGGTCATTGGGAGACTGAAATTCCCAGAAAGAGGCTTTGGTGTTGGGGCAGAGCAGCCTGGCCAGGGAAAAAGAGAACAGAGGCAGCCTTGAGGAAAAGCCCCTGGATCCCACTGGCTAATCCTGGGCAGCGTACTCCCCGATCCCCAACCTGAGTAGGGACCATGGAACCCTGAGCACAAAACAGTTCTAATGCTGGTAGAAATGAAAGCGCTGGGAAAGAGTCGGCTGGGAACTCCACCTTGTCTGCCTTCTGCCCTTCAGAGCAGTGGTGAGTGAACCAAGCCTGGGTCTTGCGTGGGTAAGCTGTGCTGCCAGGAACAGAAACTCCTTTGGGTTCACTCAGGCTGGAGGAGGGGTGTTGATATGACTCTGACTCCTGGGAGTCTTTCCCGTCTGCACCCTTTGCTAAGACGGGCACTTATCCACCCTTGCCTGGACTGCTGCCAGGAAGCCATTGAGAAGCCAGAGGCTCTGCCAACACAAAGCTACACCGGAGTCTTCCAATCAGGATCCAAAAGTGCTCTCAAGTCCCATGCTGATAGATCCCAGCCCACCTCTATGCTCACATACCATACTGTGCAAGGACCAATCAGCTGGGAACCAGTACCCTAGGATAATGAAGTGTGAAAAAGAAAAAAAAAATCCAGAGATAAAAGCTCCTAATGCCCCATTTTGGAGGCAGGTTGGATTGATAAGAAACTAATGAAGAAGAAGAAAAAAAGATACTGTGAAACCATGCCCTACTTTCCTCAGTGTGCATACTAAGTGTGTGGACCCATTCACCAAAAGGCACACTTTTCCCTAGCAATTTCTGACATTATATTCTAAGTTAAGTGTTGTGTAGAGACATAGAGGAAGCATCAAGGGAGTCAAGGATCTCGGGAGCCTGAGTCCCAGTCAGTGAGGCCTCATGGAGTCTATAACAAAAGGCAACAATGGAAGCCAGGTGTGGTGGCTCTGCCTGTAATCCTTCACACTTGGAAACTGAGGCAAGATGATTGAGTGCCTTCAGTTCAAGACCAGCCTGGGCCACAGGATGAGACCTTGTCTCAAAAAAGTGTGGGAGTGGTTAGGGATGGGAGGAAGATCCCAAAACAGATTCTTAGCAATCCCAGGACCCTTGGATCTTCATTCTGGTCATCAGACTTCAATTTGACACTGCCTCTCTCTCCTTGAGAGCTTCTCCATGACATTATCAATTCATATGTTTGCCCCTTTTGTCCCAAGAGGCATCAAGATCTGACCTGCTCTGCACAATTGTCTCAGTGGGGCTGCAAAGCCACAATCTACGCCCAGGCTATCAATTCCCTGACCTTGAGCTAGACATCAGTCAGCAGAGCAGAGAATAGCTGCATACAGGGAGGCTATGGCAACCTTGGCTAAAGCCACAACGATACTAACAGTTTCTTTTTAGGTGTGGCAAGACAGGCAGACTGGGTGACATATTAAGTTCAGCTCATAAGGGGGCAATTTTTGTCCCCAGAGTGGGTGTTCAAAAAGCTTTGGGACGCTTGCAGCTTCCCAACAAATTCACATCTAATTTTACCTTAGACTATAGATCCCCAAAGGCAAACGCAGCTGAGTCATCTGAAATCCCACAATGCAATTCTCTCTGACCCCAGGCCTCCCCAACCCCCGTATCAAAGAAGGCTGAGAATGCAAGGCAAGTCACACACACACTTCCTTCTTTATTGTTATCCATGGAACCCGAGTGGAATAGGGTACGGAGCCCTCAGACAGAAATGGGTAGGAAAGAGGAAGTGGGAGCTGTCTACTTTCCAACCTGCCTTCCTCCTAGCTCATGATGGTCGGATAATGTGACAAGATGCTTTTAGATACAAGCACAGTGCTGCGTGATAAGGTTGGGCACCATCTCGTACTTGAAAGAGTAACCTCCGTCTGAGGTGGTTCGGACACGCAGGGACCGCTTACTCCCTGGTAGAGCAGCACAGCAGGGCTTGGCCCCTGGCACCAAAAACAGGGGTTGAGCAGGGGTCGGGGGAACCCCAGGGACTGGCAGGGGCAGATCGGATGTGGGCACCCCACAGCTGCCGTGGCAGTAGTGGAAGATGAAACTGGGAGGGTGTACAATCCAGCGGTCCCAGCCCAGCTCCTGGAAGGAGATGTTGAGGGCAGCTCGATGGCAGTAGGCGTGGGCAGCCGGTTCCTCTGGAGGCCTCTGCAGCAGACGCAAAGCTGCAGGAGACCAAGGCCAAGGCCTGGGGGGAGTTGAACGACGGGCCCTCTCCCCCGAGCTAGGTGGTCTAGACCGAGTGTGGGCCACCAGAAACGGCATGGTCTCGGGCCTGCCTGAGCAGGAACACAGAGGGCATCGCAGCATCAACGCTAGGATGGGGTGCGTCAGCAGAGGGAAAGCAGACGACTCCAGGTGCAGTACAGCCCAGCGTGGGGGGCCCTGTCCCAACGACACAGGCACAGCCATGGGCCCACCGGACGACAGCACCAGCAGGTCTAGCAAGGGCCCAGAGCTATTGGAGGCTACTGTGCTCTTCCTGTCTAGCCCCGTGTGGAACCACAGCTGGGCGGAAGCCACCTGCTGGCTGCGTATGTGTTGGGATGGCCGGAACACGTAAGTGAAGAGACTCTCCTCAGCCTCCTGGGCAAGCCCTCCAGCGGCTGGCTGGTCCTCACAGGTGGCACCTGTTGAGGGGTGGGGGGACAGAAGGGAAAAGAGAAGACAACCTTGATCTGTGGGACCTGAAACACCTCCACGAGAATATGGGTGCTGACTGTGTGTCAGACACTGTTGAGTGCCACCTAGGCCCGGACATTCTGTGGAGCCTTGTGAAAACTGACAGAAGGTTCCCCAATTCTCTATGCATCATCAAAACAAGACATTGACCATTTCTCCTCTAAGCGGTTTTACCAGTTAAACCGCAATGTGTAACAGTGCATCCCCCGCCTCGGGCATACTTGTGAAGCTTACGTTAGGGCTCATCAGATAGCATGGAGTGGTTATCTTGCTTTGCGTGCCCACGTGTATGTTTTGCTGTTTTTTTATATATCTCTATGTCAGAAACTTCATATGATAAATTCCTTAAAAGAACTGTGTTTTTAAAGACAGCTTACAGGGAGGAGAGACGGTAAAATGCTTGTTGCTTGAGTGTTAGGAACCGAGTTCAACCCCAGCACCCACATAAAAAGCTGGCCGTACCCCTGTAATCTCTCCCGGGACTGAGGAGATAGACACCTGGGTGCGCTAGCCAGTCAGTCTAACTAATTGGTGAGCTCCCAGTTCAGGGAGAGACTCTTTCAAAACCTAACGTGGCGAGTGACTAAGAAAGGTGCTCAGTACCAACCTCTGACCTCCACACATACGTGTATATGTATAAACTAATGAGAAGAAAACAACAAAAGAAAGAGGTGGATTGAAAAGGAAAAGGGAAAGGATGGAAGGAAAAGGAGAACAGACTAGAGGCCGGTCCTTCCCAGTCAAGTGCAGCTGGCATTCCTGTCCCAATATCCACAGAGACTACAGTAAATATTATGGGTCAGCTGTTGTCAAGACTAGCAGTCGGGCCCTACTAGAACACAGTCTCTCTCTTTATACATTCTAACAATTGAGCCTTTTTTTTTTTTTCAGACAGGATGCCAAAGCGACTGACAGTCAGCTATTAAGTGGCCAGGCTGGGATTCCACTTGATCTGAACGCCATACTTTTTCCTCCTATGCTGCCAGGGGCTGAAGATGGGAAGCAAAGGGACCTCTCTAAGAGGACAGTGGGCCAGGTGAGAAGAAAATCCAGCAGGAGGGCTTGCCTCACCCAGTCATCAGGACATGGGAATCACACAGGAAGGAGTGGGAGACTCCTGGGGACACAGACCGGTTTCCCAACTAAGCAGCTGCTGGGCCCCTGAGGTCCTCTCAAGTCCCAGTTGCCTGGAGCTAACGAAACAGTGTGTGTGAGGCAGAGGACAGACAGACAGAACAGACAGCAGACAGGAACCTGATCTGTCTCCATACAGCCTTAGCTTCCCTTTCATATTCCGGTCGTGCTAAGCCTACCGGATCGCTCCAGCCTGAGAAGTAGAAGCTACTGCTTATTTGGTGCCCGTCAGGGAGCCTTAGGAACTGGCCCATTGCCGCAAAGCCAGCTGAACAGATCTGCCTGGCTCCCAAGCCCATGAAATAGGTTCCAGCTACAATCCCCAACCTCATTACCTGTGGCTGGGAAAAGGATGACTTGAGAGACACCCTCCTTCTCTGCTTCAGAGGTCCTGTGCATGAAGCCCCCAAGAGCGTGTCTTCGAGGCAGTCGCCTTATTCCAGAACTCCCACCTTCCCCATCCATTGCTGGGGGTCCTAAAGCATCTAGGAATAGAGCCTTCACCTTGGCCAGGACAAGCTCCCGGACCAGTTCTGGCCCCTGGCAGCTGTCCGCATCCTGAAGGGTCAACAGCAAAAGAAGCAGCAGAGAACACTGGATCACCATAGTTCACTTCGCCCTGACAAAAGGGAGCCCACACCGTGCCCTTCGCCCCTTCTGTTCAGGTCTGTCCAGGACCTCCGCACCGTCCCCTCCCCACCCCACTGCCTGCCTTCTTCTACCCTCCTCACCCCAGTCTCCCCCAGTCCTTCCCACGCCCTACAGTCCCAGTTGCCCCTGCCCATGGCATTGAGACCTCCTATCTCTGACGCAGATGTCTGTGGCCCTGAGCCTTATCTCCCACTCCCGCCAAGAATGTGGGGGAAGGGGCTGTGGAGGGTGTTCACCCCAAGTGACCTGACCCATTCATGCAAGCACACAACCCATCCCTCAAACACACACGCACATGCACGCTCATCAGGTAGCACAGGTGCCTGGGTGCTAAGGTTGACCAGTCATCAAATGTCATTTGTCAGGAAGAAAGCATGCACAACTCCCCCCTTGGGCTTTCTGGGGCTCCATTCAACCATAGCAGCTGCTAGGCCAACAAGGGAGGGAAGACCTGGGGCTGGGGCTCCGGGCCGAGGGCAGGTGGTCCCGCCTGCTCTATACTTAGCCTGGAGGAGCCAGTCTGGGCTCTTGTCCTCCAGCTGTGTCATCAGAGAATATTTTTGGGATTGGCAGCTGCAGGCGCCTCTGCCACTCAGGCCTAAGCCTGGCCTGCAGTTAAGAGACCTGGCGGCTGGAGGTGGGAGGGAGGAGGGGAAAGAGGCCCAGGCTGTGGGAGGGGGCTGGGAAGAGAGGCTCCCGAGAGCAGGAAGCCAGACCTCGGGCAAACTAGGCTGCTGGGCCCCTCGCGGCGCAGGCAAACAGGAAGGACTGCCCCCTGAGCTCTGGGCTCCGGGCCTGGGAGTCGCCGCGCAGCACGGCTGTAGCTCGGGTCGAGGGTAGGAGGCCAGCGGTCACCGGCGGTCACAGGAGTTCCTGGGGTCCCCGCGCTCGGTCCGCCACGCCCTGGCCTGGGCCCACGGCCTTCCCGCGCTCCTAGGCGGGCCATCTGCAGCGGCCGCGATGAAGGCCGGTTCGGGGGATCAGGGGAGCCCCCCGTGTTTCCTGCGCTTCCCGCGGCCCGTGCGGGTGGTAAGTGGCGCGGAGGCCGAGCTCAAATGCGTGGTTCTGGGAGAGCCGCCGCCCACTGTCTTGTGGGAGAAAGGCGGCCAGCAGCTGGCGGCCTCGGAGCGCCTGAGCTTCCCGGAGGACGGCGCCGAGCACAGCCTGCTGTTGAGCAGCGCGCTGCCCACCGACGCCGGAGTCTACGTGTGCCGCGCCCGGAACGCGGCCGGAGAGGCCTACGCAGCGGCCGCCATCACCGTGCTAGAACCCCCCTCCCCAGAGCCCGAGCCCCAGTCCTCCGAGTGTCCGCTGCCGCCGCCGCCGGGCACCGGGGAGGGCGCCCCGGTGTTCCTGACGGGACCCCAATCCCAGTGGGTGCTACGCGGGGAGGAGGTGGTGCTGACGTGCCAGGTGGGAGGCCTCCCCGAGCCCAAGCTGTCCTGGGAGAAGGATGGGATGGCCTTGGACGAAGTGTGGGACAGGAACCACTTCGCGCTGGAGCCCGGCCGCGACGCGAGTGGCCAGGGCGTAAGCCTGACGCTGCGCATCTTAGCGGCTCGGCTGCCGGATTCCGGGGTGTACGTGTGCCACGCCCGCAACGTGCACGGCCACGCGCAGGCGGGCGCGCTGCTCCAGGTGCACCAGTCCCGCGAGAGCCCGCCCCGGGATGCCGAGGAGCCCCCGATCCCCGTGGTGGAGCCCCTCAAGTGCGCGCCCAAGACCTTCTGGGTGAACGAGGGCAAGCATGCCAAGTTCCGCTGCTACGTGATGGGCAAGCCCGAGCCGGAGATCGAATGGCACTGGGAGGGCCGCCCTCTGCTTCCCGACCGCCGCCGCCTCATGTACCGCGACCGCGATGGTGGTTTTGTACTTAAGGTGCTCTACTGCCAGGCCAAGGACCGCGGGCTCTACGTCTGTGCAGCGCGCAACTCCGCGGGCCAGACTCTCAGCGCAGTCCAGCTGCACGTGAAAGGTAGAGCACCGGACCGTCAGTGCCCTCAGAGGAACCTCCTCGCTCACATCCACCTCTGTGTCTGGAGGAGTATTGAATTCACGTTTCCAACCTCCCCCCACCCCCCACAGGGATTCAGGTTTAGACGTCCCCAGTACACTCGTGAATTTCTTAGCAAACTACCCAGGTGATTTCACGGCAGATGATGACGACCACAAAACTAAGGAATAGGTGACCGCGTGTAAACCTTTCAAGTCCTAGAACGGTCCTGTCCTTTGCTCTTTTAGGCCTGCTTTCCCAACTGGATTCCCATCGGTAACAGTGTCTGTAAGATAATAGGGTTATGTTGTGGGTGTAAATAAGGCTAAATTTACAATATGCTAATCCGAGAGAACAAGGGGGCTGCTGTATTGAAAACACACATTTGGAGTGGAGGCTGTGTTCACAAATTTGGGCCCTGAATCTGTTGGGAAGGCCCCGGGCAAACCTCCCTGGAGCCATTGCTCATTCACAAGGGAGATAGACTTGCCAGAAGCTCTCTGTTCTTTCATTGATCCACGGTTAAAGTTTGACAGATGATGGAAGCAAAAGTTCCCCCTAATAGGACTTGATCACAACTTGAGGGATTACATTCTCACTGGGTGTTGCCTGCCTTTCTCCTTCCAAGGAGAACATTGAGAAGTTCCCTGGAGCCCCGCCTGGCATTTAACCAAGCGGGCGATAGATACCTGAGCTGTGGCAGTGACCTTATGGGTACAACTCATTGTGCCCAAACTTGCCAGGCCAGTGCGGAAACTGGAATGTCCTCAGGAAAGTTAAAGAAACTTATTTGAGTGGCATCAACACTTGTTTTCCCCAGCTAGCTAACTCCCTAGCAGCTTCCTATTTCTGAAATACGGTTTTGAAATGCTTAGAATGCTATTAAAATGAAATCCAGTGAAGACCCATGCAGACTTAGGGAAAAGTTGTAGAGTTAGGGAACAGTTTGAAAATCAACGCTTGCCCTCCCTCCCCCATTTAACACACAAGCAAATCGAGACATGTAAATGCTGTAAGATGTGTTTAAGGTGACATGGCTGATGGGCATCAGGGTCAGGAGGAAATTAGGCCTTCTAAGTTTGTTGGGAATTCGCTGCCGTTCCTAGCCTGCTGGGAAGAACAAGGAAAGTACGGCCACCCTCCGTTCCTTTCCTGAGCCTTCTCTTGCTCTGCTCTTTCTACAGAACCCCGCCTCCGGTTCACAAGGCCCCTGCAGGATGTGGAGGGCCGAGAGCAGGGGATTGTAGTACTGGAGTGTAAAGTTCCCAACTCTAGGATCCCCACGGCCTGGTTCCGAGAGGACCAGCGACTGTTGCCATGCCGCAAGTATGAGCAGATCGAGGAGGGCACCGTGAGGCGCCTCATCATTCACAAGCTGAAGGCGGATGATGATGGTGTCTATCTGTGCGAGATGCGGGGTCGGGTGCGCACTGTGGCCAACGTGACGGTCAAAGGTCAGCTGGCCAGTGGGAGGAGGCCGAGGCTGGTGGTGTCTAGTTCCTGGGGCTGATCCGCTGCCGCCCACATCTCAGGACCTATCCTGAAGCGCTTACCCCGAAAGCTTGATGTCCTGGAAGGAGAGAACGCAGTGCTGCTGGTGGAGACCCAAGAAGCTGGGGTCCAGGGGTGCTGGAGCCGTGACGGGGAGGAGCTACCAGCCACCTGCCAGAGCAGTTGTGGTCACATGCATGCCCTGGTCCTTCCAGGGGTGACCCGAGAAGATGCTGGCGAGGTCACCTTCAGCCTGGGCAACTCCCGTACCACTGCTCTGCTCAGAGTCAAATGTGAGAGCGTGGAGGCCTGGAAACAGGAGGGGCAGGGCAGGGCCATAGCCAGTTGCCAGTGCCTGGGTTGGCAAAGTGGATTTAAAGCAGGATGGTTGTTGGGGGCTTGTTCGAGACCCAGGTGAAAATCCCACCTTTGTCTCAGGTGTCAAGCACAGTCCTCCTGGGCCCCCTGTATTGGTTGAGATGTTCAAAGGCCAAAAGAACACAGTCCTGCTGACCTGGAAGCCCCCAGAGCCGTTTCCAGAGAGCTCCTTCATTTACCGCCTAGAGCGGCAGGAAGTCGGGTCCGAAGACTGGGTCCAGTGCTTCAGCATTGAGAAAGCTGGAGCCGTAGAGGTGCCAGGGGACTGTGTGCCCTCAGAGGGGGACTACCGCTTCCGCATCTGCACAGTTAACGAACATGGCCGTAGTCCCCATGTTGTGTTCAACGGCTCTGCTCACCTTGGTGAGTTAATCCCTCTAGATTTTGCCCATCAGTATCTGTACCCCAAGTCATGCCCTTCCCCGTGACCTCGTCCCATCTCTGACTCTTAGTCCTTATGTTTTTCCATCCACCAGCATTTGCCCTCTCTTGCCCTTTCTGGTTCTAACAGCCATACCGTGTCTCTGTCCCAGTGCCCACAGCTCGCCTGGTATCAGGCCTAGAGGATGTTAAGGTGTATGATGGGGAAGATGCCGTCTTCTCCCTTGATCTGTCCACCATCATCCAGGGCACTTGGTTCCTTAACGGAGAACAGCTCAAGAGTACTGAGCCAGAGGGCCAGGTGGAGCCCGGAGCCCTGCGGTATCGAATAGAGCAGAAGGGTGTGCAGCACAGACTCGTCCTCCAAGCTGTCAAGCACCAAGACAGTGGGGCCCTGGTAGGCTTCAGCTGCCCTGGTGTGCAAGACTCGGCTGCCCTCACTATCCAAGGTTGGTAACTGGTAGACAACTAGGCAGATGGGTTCAGAGCATGGAATCTTTGTTTGCTGATCAAGGTGGCTGCTGTATCTGTTTCTCCCAGCTGGGCTAGAAGAGTAAGGGACGTTCATGATAGGCTCGGATTGAAAACTCAGAGGTGCAGGCCAGTTTCAACTCACAGCATATAGACCTGCTCTTGGGCACATCAGCGTCATTCCCATTCTTTGCATTGTTTTGATTTACAGGAATTCTGTCGCATTGGGCTGGGGTTGGGGCTCAGTGGTGGAGCTCATTGCCTAGAGTGGGTTAAACTCTATATTACCAAAAGGTACATTTGTCCTTTGATTTGAGAGACATGGATCCTGGTCCATGCCTTCCTTCTGACCTCTTGCCTAATTGCCAACACCGTCTCCTAGTGTTTTGACTTGAGGCGGGCATAGCCCTAGTCACTTGAGTTAGGTAACTAACACAGTCCTGTTGATAGCCCTATAAAAGGGGCTCTTTTTTTTTTTTTTTACCATTCCCACTTTACATGTAGGAAGACAGGCACAGAGAAATTAAATGGCCTGCCCAGCATTAATGAGTAGTGGTGCTGGATTATGAACTCAGGTAGTTTGGCTCCAGGAGAGGGAATGTAACATCACTCAGGATTGGGGAGGGGTGCTAAAATTCAAGGACATCCTAGCACTTAACCGTTGCTATTGCTAGAGAACCTGGGCCTTACA